AGTACGAAGACGTCATCACAAGGGCCGCACAAAATATCTTGTGAAGTGGCGGGGATATTCGAACTCTGAAAACTCGTGAGAGTTTCAGGCGCCACTTCGGCAAGATTGCCCAGTCGCCGTGAACGCTTTTGATTGGAATGATCAGGAAATCCCGCGTCATCAGACGCCCCACGCTTCCCGGCAGAAGGGCCATGAGCTGAGCTCAAGCAGTGGCCCTGAGCTCTTGCGGTCGAAGACACAGAGCTTGCGGGAGCATTAGGGGTTGTTAACCCATACGTCGCAGGGCGACAATGTGAAGGAAGACGACGGCGTGCCTTGCGTTTGACAAACTCAAAGCGAAGGTGTCGCTCCACACGCACGTCCACTTCCTTGTGGCTCAACTGCAGGTTATGCAGTAGGGAAAGTTTGCGGTGCCGTTGCACCCATGGCTCAAAGAGCGCTTCGTCATCTGTAGTGCTTTTGCCAGAGGTGAGCACTACAGGTATTTCCGCATTGCGAGTACACGAGAGCTACCTCGTTGAGCAGCGAGACGAGTGCGATGAACCTCTAACGGAATTTCTTGTGGGACCAAGAAACGAGCTCGAAGAGCTTTCCATGTGGCAAGTTCATCATCAGTTCTGGCCAGAGGCCTGATGATGTGGATCCGCAGGGCGGAAGCCATATACCACACGATGGTCAATGACCGACCATGGACGGGCGCGCTTTTGAGCCGCCTTATGGGCAGCTTCAAGCTGCCGCCTCTGTTTCCCGTCGAGGTCATTGTTGATCACACCACGTGTCTCAGCTGACGAGAAGTCAGGGAACGGACATGGGGTCCTCAAGAGACGAGCAGGGATCGTATCGCGCCGCTGGCGCAGCTCGTCTTCCTCGTCATTCCATGCAGGAAAAGGAGTGTCAGACTCGTAATCGACCACATCCTCAACGAGGCCACTCAGCACTGAAAGCGTGCGCGAAGTGCGACGTTTATGCTCATCGAGCATCGAGCATAGGATATACACCCCTCGGTGCTGCGGACGCACTGTCCGACGTTGCACCGAGTGCGGG